GGCAAGCGCCTCGTCAAGGCGCTCGCGATCGGCCGTGGGCGCGAGGTGCCCGTTCGCATGCATGGGTCCACGTAGACCCAGGTCCCATTCTCTTCACTTGTCTTTAACAAGAGCCGGGTCTGGGATGAGTGGGCTTTTGGGGGGAAGGCCGTGGCTTTTATTTTTACAAAAGCAATTCAGCCTCGCTTCCCTCCCCCCTTCTTGCCCGCGCTCGGCCGGTTCCACTTTGGCCAGCGGCCCTGTGGGGGTCGGCTGGGGAAGTTTTAAAAATGCTTTATTCTTGGACGTCTTGATTTGAAACTCAGGTAGCAGAGACGGGATGCCGAAGCTCACGCAGCTGGCACCCAGTTGTTGTGTTTTCTCCGCTCGGAGAGTTTAGGGGTTGAAACCCCCCCGCGCGGCGCCCGATGAAAATGTCGTCTTGTCTCGCTGGCTTCAGTCGGACATCGAACAGCCCTCTCGGGCTCAGCTCCGCCGCCCCCTCTCTCGGGTTTTCAGCCCCTCCCCGGACTGGCTCTGGGTCGATGGTAAAACTGTAACTAGTTGTTCTCGAACTTAATTCTTCACGCTTCGCGCATCCGGGGGCGCTTGCGCGGGCGCGAGCACGAAGGGGGGGCGGGCCGCCGGGGGGCGGCCCGCAGCCAAGTGCACCTGATCGGCGCAAGGACGAGACCAGTTGAACCAGAGAGCGCCCGCCTTGGAGGGCAGACGCTTTGGCCAGGGCGCCAAACTGGCGCAAACGCGCGCTCGCGGCGATCGCGGCCTCGCGCGCAACGACGAGGCGGGGGGAGTTTCCAAGCGACTAGAGCGCGCGGCCGGCCATTCAGGAAAAGGAGCGGGGATCTAGGATAGGAGGGATCGACCATGGCGCGCGCTTGCCGGGGCGCTGGCAGCGAGGATGGCGGGGCGCGGGATGAGGCGCGCCAAAACGCGGGCAAGTGAGCGCGCAGCGGGCCCAGACGGCGAGGGCGAGACGACAGGTAAACGCATGGCGGGCCAGTGACAAGCCGCATCTCTGACCAGTCGAACGCAGCGGGGCTGAGCGAACACGCGCACGCACGAAAACACGCACACAGACACACACACACACACACACGCGCACGCACACACGCACGCACGCACGCACACACACACACACACACGCACACGCACACGCACACACACACACACCACACCACACCACACCACACCACACCACACCACACCACACCCACACCCACACCCACACCCACACCCACACCCACACACAAACACAAACACAAACACAAACACAAACACAAACACAAACACAAACACAAACACAAACACAAACACAAACACAAACACAAACACAAACACAAACACAAACACAAACACAAACACAAACACAAACACAAACACAAACACAACACACAAAACACAAACACAAACACAAAACACAAACACAAACACAAACACAAACACAAACACAAACACAAACACAAACACAAACACAAACACAAACACAAACACAAACACAAACACAAACACAAACACAAACACAAACACAAACACAAACACAGGCACACGCGCGCACGCACACACGCGCACGCGCGCACGCGCGCGCACGCACGCACGCGCGCACCCGCGCACACACAAACACACGCATATATACACACCTACGCACACGCGCGCACGCGCGCGCACATGCGCGCGCACACGCACATGCACACGAAAGAAACCATAAACAAACACGCGATTCCTCGTTCAAAGGGTCGTCGCGCCGACGTGGCCTGATATGAGAAAGCGATGGGAAAGCAGAGCGGGGAGGGGGGCGGGTTCGCCGGCTTCGGCTGCTCGACGCAGCGCCGCCCTGCGGGAGGCGGGCGGCCCCCATGCCTCCTGGCCTTCCCGGCGCTAGGGGCGCAGGCCACGAGTTGATTTTTCCGCTCGCGTTCGAGACCCCCGCCTGCAGTATTGATAACCCGTCGCTCGTGGCTCTGCAGCGGCGCGCTCGTGCGCGCATTGACCTGTCAGACGCGACCTTCACTTTCACTGCGTCTGACGCAGTGGGCGACGCCCGTTGGCCGGGCTGAGATCGACAAGGCGAAGACGCGCCGAGCCGAAGCTTCTCCGACGAGCTTGTTAACCGCCGGCGGCAACGGCAGGCAGCGCGACTCCAAGCTCGACGACAACGGCCGCCGCTGGCGGGAACGCCCGACGCTGCGACGGCGGCAGACGACAGCGGCTCGGAGGACGAGACAACGTTCGAAATGAGGAACGGATATCTCAACAACGCCCCACGTCAGCGAGCCCCCGCTCCTGCCCCTGCTCCAGAAGGGGCACCAGGTGAACTGCATCGCCGTCGGGGCGGGTCAGAAGTACGTCGGCGCCGTGGCGGAGAATCCCGCGGGCCACGGCCTCGCCCGCCCAGTCTGCAGGTGAGTCTCACGTTGCTCGAGGCGTTGGTCGCTCAAGACACCCTGGAGCAGATTCCGCACTTGCAAAACTGCCTGAAGACCGTCGTCGCTCTCCTCCAGCAGGCGAGGTCACAGGTGACGGCGGTCGCCTGCCAGACGATCCGATACTGGAAGGCGAAGATCGCCTACATGAAGGAAGGCTTGCCGCCTCTCGTTCGCCAGACCTTCTTTGTCAACTCGTGGGTTCAAGGACCAGGAGGTCTGACGACGCCCATGCATTCGATTATGACGACCCTGCTTCTGACCTCCAACAAATCACCCAGGAACGCCGCGTCCAAAATTCTTCGGAGAAGATGCTTCGCGGGGGTGGCCACAGAAAGGCCCAGTAGGTCCCAGGTCTCCCTCCTCCGCCCCCCCCCCCCCTCCTCCTCCCCCCCCCTCCCCCATCCTGGGCCGCCGTTGGCCGTGGGGTCGATCTCCGAGCGCGGACGGTTGCCGTGCAAGGGTGGGTGGGACCCAGTGGTGCGCCCCAGAGGCAGAGGTCGAACTAGACTGCGAGGGAAAGGTATTTGAAAAACGTTGGTTTCAAACGAGGGCAGCGATACCGTCTACTGCCGCACGGCCTGGCTGGCCATTCTCTCCCCTGTCGTCCTCCGCCGCGTCGCCCCTGGCTGCCGCTGTGTTATTCTCGTCATGTATGCGTTTCCCAATAGACGTCTGCGTTTGCACGTACAGGCCTCTCGACCCTGTGCTGCAATCGCCGAGTCCCCAAGCTGGTTGCTGTGGGAGCGGTTCCCTCAGTGTTTTGACATCCGCGGGAATATAGTGCTTCCCGAACGCCCGTCGGCCACCGCCCCCATCGAGTGATTCGAGACTTGGCCATGCGCAGATAGCGACCGAGCGAGCCTCCTCCTCCTCCTCCCCCTCTTCCTCTTCCTCCTCCTCCTCCTCCTCCTCCTCCCCCTCCTCCTCTTCCTCCTCATCCTTGTCCTCCTCCTCCTCCTCCTCATCCTCCCTCCGCCTCCTCCTCCTCGTCCTCCTCCTTCTCCTCCCCCTCCGCCTCCTCCGCCTCCTTCTCTTCCTCCTCCTCCTCGTCCGCCTCCTCCTCCTCCGCCTCCTCCTCTTCTTCCTCCTCCTCTTCGAGTTTTCAGAGACCTCCAGAAGGCGTGGTGCCGCATTCGGCCCACGGGGCAACAGCACAGCGAGCCGCCGAACGGCCTACGCACGGGCCACGACATTGGGAACGACAGTTTCGTGGGCCCGGGGCATCCTTCAGAGGGGCGAACCTCGTTTTTTGTTGGTTTCGTCGTCATTTCTTCTCGCCTTGTTCCGGGGTGATCGTTATGTTCTTCGTCTTTACCCTCGTCTTTTCTCTTCGTTATCTGCCTTGTCCTTGTGATTTCGGGGTTAACCCGGTTCCTCGTCCTCTCCCGGGAGTTATGGTTTTTCCCTCCTCCTCCCTCGTCTTGTTCCGTTTCTTCTCCCCCGCTAGGGCTAGGAGGGTGTATGGTTGCGATGAAGCTTCTTTCCGCCTTATTGCGCTGGACTGCCGGACTGCACTGGAGCCACCCTCCCTGCTGGCTTCCCACCTCCATACCTCGATACCAACTCCCCCAGAACAGGAAGGAGGTGGAACAGGAGGATGGATGAGGACAGCGGGAGGACAGAGAAAAGGGGAATGGGGGAGGAATCGGAACTACGGGGATGGAAAAGGAAGGAGTAAGGGGGGGAGAACGGGGGGGGGTATGAGAGGTAGAGTGCATGCGAAGGAGGGTGCAGACAGGAGGTAGGACGTAGGAGGGATGGTGGAGGCCAGCATATACATGGGGGGATGAAAGATAGGGGGATGAGGAGAAGGAACAGGAAGAATAACAAGAAGGACGAGGGACGAAGTGGAGGACGGGAGGGAGGACAGATGCGAACAGCGAGGGGCAGGAGAGGGAAGACGGAGGAGAGATGAGAGAGCGGATGGAGAAGGGAGGGAGTAGGAGGCGGAGAGGAAGGAGGAGACGAGGAGGAGGAGGGAGGGGGAGGAGGGGGGAGGCGAGAAAGGAGAGCGAAAGGAGAGCGAACAGGGGAAGGAGGAAGGGGTGACACTTCGTGTGAACAATTCACGTTCTCTTTGAATAGCTCTCTTCACTGCACCTGCGAGACGGAACGTTTGAGCCAAAGTGACGGAAGAATATACAAGACGACGAAGGTTCAGGAACGAGGGGGGGAGGGAGGAGGGACATGGAAACGGAGTGGTGCGTTCAGAAAACGAAGTGTTTGGGGAGCAGAGAGAAGGAGGAGGAGGAGGAGGAGGAGGAGGAGGAAAGAGGAGGAGGAGGAGGAGGAAAGAGGAGGAAGACGAAGAGGGTGGGGGAAGGGAGCCAGTGGAGGCGGAGGAGGGAGGATGGAGGAGGATCAGAGTAGACTGGAGCGGGACGAACGATCGACACACCGCACGCGACTTGCCGCATTGAGACCCCACCAGACACTCGGGCCGTCCCCGAGCCAGACCCAGTAGGGTTGTAGCTCAAGCAAGAGTCTCGACCTGCTGCTGCTGCCGTGTCGCACAGGCTATTCCCAGCACTGCAGCGGAGATGTGCTTCGCCCCTGCACGGGACCCCGCCGCGCGAGGCTCGGGACGGCCGACGAGTGCGCCGCCAGGGCCGCGGCCGAGCCGGCCTGTGGCGAGCACGTCATGTTCAACGGGGTGCACCCGGACCGCGGCCCCCTGCAGAGGTCGGACGGCACCGGCTGTGAGTGGTGAGCCAGCTGTGGACAGACCTCTCTTTACTAAACCTCGAAGCCTCCTAGATGGGGTCCGAGTAGATGGGGTCGGAGGATCGCGCCGCATCGCCGATGCATCGACGATGCGGTTCGACGTGGAGCCCGTGTTTCCCCACGCCGACATCGCGGATGCGTCGCCGGTGCATCGCCGATGAGTCGCCGATACATCGGCGATGCACTGGCAATGCGGCGCGATCCTTCGACCCCATGTAGGAGGCCTCTAAAACCTCCCTTTAGTGAAAACGGCCTAGGGCCGAAACCGATGGACCCGGACCCGCAAGAATGACGGCCGCGACGCCCTCTCGCGAACCGAAAACGGCCGATTCCCCAATTGACGTGTCAGGGTAGGAGGTCTATCAACCTCCGAGTGAAGCAAACGGGTCCTGACGTTTTTGCTGGGCTCTCGGGGCCCTGTGTGGAATTGTCAGAAGTCGGCGCAGGACGAGAAGCGAATCCAGCGGGAAGGCCCCGTGCGTGGTCCAGGAGCCGTTTCCCTTGGGACCCGTTCCAGTTGGCCCGAGGGGTCTGAGCAGGCGAGCAGGCCCAGCTCTGAAACATGACCCAGGGGTACGTCGTTCGGTGTTGCGTCCTCCGCCCTGGGGTGCCCTTCGTTTGGGGTATCTCCATGGAGCCTTGGGACCTCGGCGAAGGGGATGCTATCGTGGCCGTTCTTCGACTTGTAGGTTCCCCCCCCAGGGGTACAAAGATAACCGCGCTTCGCGCGTCGCGAAGTGGCGTCGTTCGCGGGACTTCGCGAACGACGCCACTTCGCCGGTGGCTTCGCGTGGGCATGCCGTGGCACCTCAGGGTGGACCCGGAAGTCCGGACTCGGGAGGGTGTTAGAGTCGAGCCTCCTCCAGAGAAGGAGAGAGAGAGAGAGAGACAGAGAACAGCAACAACAACGACAACAAAAACATATTTGTGGTGCAACGTAAGTAAGTGTACATCCTGATGCGCGAGTCAGCGCTCGAGGCACCCACGAGGCGCCCACGGACTCTCATCAAGTAAGAACCATGAAGCCTCGGCCAACAATGGCTTGTCCTGCGTTGGCGCGCCGCCGCGACCAACAACGGTTTGTCCTGCCTCGGCGCGCTGGTTTCCGGCGCTTCGCGCAGCGCTGGCTGCGATCGTCGTTGTCATGATTTGCCCTGCCGAGCTGCATATTTTGCCTTGCCGAGTGGACCCTCTAGGCTAGGGATCAAACATAACCATGAAGCACCAGCCAGCGCACGGGGAGGCCCCAAATTGGCCCAAGAGAGATTCAAACTTGCCTCCGAGACGTCCCCGAGAACGTGTTCGGGCCCCTCCCCCCCCCCATACAAAAGAAACGCCCTGCGACTCCCGACCGTGCGCCCCAGCAGTCCTCCCAACGGAGCCCCCGAAGCGCGGATGACCCACCCAAGAGGCCCCAACAGATGCCAACACGCCCCACGATACCTGTAAAAGAGAGTGTTTGACACAGGGCTCGAGAAGGGGATCGTTTCCGAGTTGATTTACCTCATATTTGATTTGCTCGTCGAATCTACGAAGCACGCGTATCATGCCTGGTACAGCATACTACGAATTCGCTCGTATATTCGAGGGCCAATCAAATTAGGGGCAAGTGAAAGCTGTAATCGATCCCGCACTCTAAGAGCAAATGTAAACGTTATTTTCGCTTGTTTCAGCTGCCCTGCGCATCCCCTTCAACATCGGGTTGGCAGGGTTCGGAATGGACGCGAAGGGACTGAGCTAATTCAGCAGACGCTCGTTCGTTTATAGGTGAAAAGGCGCGTGCGCGCCCCACCCCCCCTTCGCCTGGCCGGCTTGCACACGCACATACATACCAGAGCAGATGCGGTTGACGGACACGAAGCCATGGCCAGAGGCACGTCGCCCGTTCGGCGGGATCTCGCCGCGCCCCTAGATAAAGACGTACAACAATGATCATGGACAGGAACAGTACGACACTATCAACCTGAATAACATTTTGCCTCATGTGACGATCGAGAGGCAAACAGAGGCGAAGGCTCTTCCACGGGACTTGGGGGCAGCGCTTCCCGGCGTGAGAAGCGATGCGTTCGGGCCCCCCGAACGAGGCCACGGCTCAAAAGAGGCAAGTCAGATCGTCTTCCTGCCCCTTGACGGCGTCGGGGGGCCTTGACTTGCGCTCTTCACAGGGCATCAGCATCGACGTTCCTGCGCCGATGGAAAGCTTAGACAGTGACCGCGCACAAGGACAGCGACTGTGGAATTGAGCGGCAAAAAAGGCGGTATCCTCTGCGCGGGGATGGCATGACTTGCGCGATGCCGTCGGGCGCAACGGACCGCGCGGGCGGCGCAGCTCCTGCGTCGACATCGCTCGACGAAGGCGACCCAATGACCTCGACCCCTCGTTCGGCGCACACCGCGATCCCGCACTACAGTCCGGGGGGGCATCCCCAGGCCACTCGCATAAGGGAATCGCCTAAGTCTGCGCGAGGGACATCGTCGAACTTGGACTCCATGCGCGATGGGTACTCGCGCCCGTCCTTCGTCCTTCGCTTCACCCAACGACGCGCCCGCATCGCGGGCGCTCGGGGCCGACCAAGCCAGAGAGGCGATCAGCCTCTCGACGAGGTCCCCGTCGATAAGGCGGATTAGGACAGTCGACGCTGAAAACCATGGCGGGGGGCGGCGCCAGGGGGGCGGCGCCCTTGGCCCCGGCGCCCCCCTCATCGACCCGACAGCATCAGGGCGCGCAGGCAGGCCCGCGACGGGCGCCACCCGATCTGCTGCGCGAGCGACGCGATCCCCGCGAGCAAGGGGCAGGGGCCCGAGGTCTCGCAGCCCGCTCAAATGGGTCGAGTCATCGCTACAGCGGCAACTGCCTCAACCGAGGGCCCGACTGCGCGGAGATCCCTGAACGTCGATGCCCAGGCAACCGCGGGCACTGCAAGAAGGCAGTTTGCGGGGCTTGTCCCGGGAGCTGCTCGCGCTGCAACCTGCCGCGCTTGCGCCCTGAGCGCCGACCGCTTTCCGCTCGCAATTGCCCTGCGCGTCTCTCCGAATGGGGGGGCGGGGCTCAGGAGAAGGAAACGGGCGGTTATGCTGGCGGAGCGAGATCGGGAGATGGCGCAGATACGGGGCATATTCTAGCGGCTGAGCTTCAGCGGGGGGCCGCCGCCCGGCCCCGGGCCGAACGCGATCGCAGCGCTGTAATTCCCACCGTTGAACTGGCCGATGAAATACAGCGCGCCACCGCATCGGAACGCAGCGCGCAGACCAATGCAGGGCCGCGGGGGATTGCCGATCGGCGCGAGGCTTCAATGATGACCGACAAGTCGTGCCAGGCCCGGAAAATGACGTCGTCGAGGGCTGCGATTGCTATCCGGGGGGCTGGTCAGAGCCAGCGCGCCGATGTCCCCGCGCTGGCCGGTGAGCGGAGGGCCGCCGCGGCGCGCGATATCGCCATGGAATCTGGAGCCATCGCCGAGGTCCAGAAGGCCTTTGCGGATGCCCGCGCGGCCGCGGAACTTGCCGAGCGCGCGTCGGCCGCGAGCGCCTCGTTGATTCAGCGGGCCCAGGGCGAAGTCAGTGAATCTCGCCAGAGGGGGCAGGCCGCCGCCAAGGAGTCGAACTGCGTTCGGGCCAACGCTGGGGCCCGCGACGTCTCTTTGAAGACTCAGACGATAGTGCGCGAAGCAAACGACAGGTTAGGCGCGGCATCTCGAACATCGGAGCCGAATGCGTCGCGCGCGCCGAAGAATTTGGAGGCGCAGCGCGAGAAGCAGCATCGCGGGCAGGCCGACCGTCGCATGCGCAGCGGCGCGCGCGAGCGCGCTGCCCCCGTCGGGGCTCAAGAGACGGGGGCCAATGCAAACGGGGGCCAGCCAGGGCGCCGGATCCAGCGGGACCCTGCGAAGACCCCCTCTGGCTGCCCCCGATTAGCGACCCGCTCGTGGCCGCGAGGCGGCCGCGCATATTGGCTGACCCGGGTTTGCGAAGACCTGCGCTGCAGTTGCTTCTTGCATTGCAGTTTTGGTTTCCCGCTGACCCTGGTCCGGATTGACCCAGGTCAGAAGATCCCCGGCCCAGTCGCGACGGCCGGGGCGGGCGCGCTGCGGCGCTTCGCGCGCAACGAGCCAGCGGATCTTTATCGCGGGCAGTGCCGGGGCGGGTTTTGCAACGAACACGTTGACCGAGAACGCAGCCCGCGCGTAGCCTGCGCTGCGCTGCCGGCGAAATGGGGTCGAGATGCTTAGCAAAGACAGACGGAAGAAGAAGGGCAAGAGCGTAAAACTAGGACGGCGCTCGAAGGGCGAATCGCTAACGAAAACCCCATGCGGCGCTGGGCCATTCGATTGCCCGCGGCGGCGCCGCGCGCGGCTCTGAGCGCGACGCAGAGCAGAGGATTGAGAGCGAGGTCGCCAAGCGCCTGCGGGCGTTTGAGGACTCGGCAGGCGCCGAGCAGCAGCAGTCGATTGCGATGCCCCGAGCGGCCGCGCTCAGAGTGGAACGCCGCGCTGAAGTAAACGTTGGGAAGCGGGAGTTGCGAGCTGAGGGGCGCGCCGAGGTCGAGGTCCCCGCTGGAGAGCCGGAGATGGAGGACGAAGAGAAAGCCAGAGTGGAGATGGGGGGCCGATCGAAGAAGGAAGAAAAGCTCGGTGGTGCGCAGACAACGCCGGCTACCGCATACCCTGGACGTACTCCTCCGAATCCGAACCAGCCCGGCGGCGGCGCCGCCGGCGGGGGACATGCGTTCCGAGGTCAGGGGTCAGATGGCTCCGAGCCCAGGGGCGCTGCGCCCGCCATGGAAAAGGAGGGCCCTCCCGGCGACGGCGGCGACGATCCCGACAGCAATTCCGATTGTGACCCTGGCGATTCTGGTGAGTATATCCGCTATCCGATGACCCACCTCATGATCGCGGCGGCTCTGGATTTCCCGCGAACGGCGCTCCGGGCGCGTCCGAGGCGC